CCAGCTCACCAGGATAAGACTTCAGAAGCAGGGGGCCTGGGAGGCAGGCGTTTTGGGATATCCACGAAGACCCCATAGGTTAGAGCTGATTCGAACACAGATGGTGGGTGTAGCAGTTGGTCTAGGAGATCGGGCCTGTCACTACACATTGACCGTAATAACCATGTGGGGGTCAAGCTGGGTTTTCTCTGCCGTCTTAATGACTGACTTCTCAAACAATCTCATCAGCTGTGCATCTGTTGATTTGGTCATTCAGACGCTGAAAACCCCAGATTGACCATTTTCCCTCCCACGCATGGAGCCTATGTGTCTGGAATACTAACCAAAATCCATCAGCTAAAGTTCAAAAGAAAAATGGAATGATTTGGTTAGGAGGAGATATTCACAGCAGTGTGAGTAATACTGTTTTCCTATAAGAGAATAGGTTTAATAAATTATGGCCATCCATATAATGGAGGCATAATATATCGCTATTAAATACGTATTCAAAGAATATCTAATGACCGGGGAATATAAATCTGGATACCACATTCTACTAATTAGAAGGAAAAAACTATACACAGAAACACCTAGAAGAAAGGAGGAAATGCAGCAAATGCACCAAAATGTGAACAATGATTATCTCTTTGTATTTTCTGTCATGTCCACTATGAACATGTTATTTTTTAGCATCAGGAAAAAATGTTTTGTTTTGTTTTTTTTCCTTTTTCGTTGTTTTTTTTTTTTAAACCAGAGGGATGATTTCTAAGACCAAAAAAAAAAAAAAAATTACAAACTAACTTGTAAAAGGGTGGGGTGTGACCGCTGGTCGTGGATCACGCGTCTGTGCTAGCCACAACACACATCTTTCCCAAATACCAACCTGCATGCTTCTGAGCCTCAGAAAAGCTTCACTGCTTCCCCCTGCTTTACCTTACCTCTTTCTCCTTATCTTTCTCCCTTTCTCCCAGGACTCTTCCCTAGGCTCCCACATGGAAACACTGGGCTCTCCCTGATGTCTGTCCTGAGAACAGTGAGTGTTCTGACTTTATCAAGATTCAAACCCGTTAGGCAGGCCCGCTACAAGGTCCCGCGCCATCTAGCCTCCCACTCCCACCCACTCATCACTATCTCCTTGCCCCAGGGCCTTTGCACAGCTGTTCTCTTTGCCTGGACCCATCTTCTTCCAGGTAGCCGCAAGGGCTTATTCCTTCACCTGTAGGTATTTGGGCCTCTTCTATGGTATTATCCATGGATTTTCCTTCAGGATAGTAAAGAGTGCTATAAAATTTACTTGCTATTAAAAAAAGAGGCAATGGGTCTGATGAAGTTAAGGACCCCTGCTGTACCGTGATTGCTGGTTGGCATTTCTGTCTCTCACACTAAATTGGAAACTCTGGGAGGGGGGTCAAGAACTGAGCCAAGACATATTTGCTAAAACAAACGAATGAACACATGAGCAAGCTGGTGATAGCTAAGGGGTGGGGGGTGGGGCCCTGGGGCAGCTACAAGTGAAAAGCTTTGACTCCCCTGGCTTGTGAGAGGTGAGCTACCTTCTTGCCAGTGTATATAGGGACCTGACTGGGAGGCAGTGAAGATGCACTATCTGGCCAGGAACTCTCTAGAAGCCCAGCCACTCACCACGGCCGGTGAAGGTTCCTGGCCCCACAAAGATCACAAAGCCCACGGCTCTTCCATGCACCGTAAAGCTTATGGCTTCACTGCGGGTGAGGGAAGGACTCTCTGAGGATTAGGAGTCCACAGCTCAGCCATCTGAGGCTGGCACTTCAACCTCTCTGCATCTGTGGTCTGGGGGCACTCACCCCTCCCCACCTCCCGGCCCTGCGGTGAGGATCAAATAGACTGTGAACATGAGGGGCTCAGGTCAACTGTGCGGACTATGCAAATGTTGGTCAGTATGACAGGGAATAATGACGGTTTTAGGCTGAACATAATTAAATCTTTGATGACTCAGAGGCCCTTCAGGAGCTTAAGCTCATCATCGTCAACATCAAGTATCACTGAATAATATTTTGGATCAAATTCTGATTGTTGCAACTTTCTTGGTATTTAAAATCTCGATGAGCAAGGCTTTTTGCATAACCTATCGAAGCGTGCTGGCGACCCACCGGAGTCCACTCCGGTCCTTCGCTCGTCCCCAACCGCCCACACTGTGGATGGAGGGAGGGTTTGTCTACTTAGGCAGAATGCATTCACTTGAGCAGAAAGCCCTGCTCTGGTAAGGGGGGAAAAAAAAACAACACCCCCCAGACTCCACCCTCTTCCTTTGATCCTCCCACCGAATGCAGAGCTGGAACACAGAAGCAAAGCAGTTCAGATGTAATTATTTTCATTCAGCCAGATGCTGGGAATTAGTCTCTTTTCCTTGTAAGTATTCTAGAGAAAGACAGAACGCAGCCAAAGACGCCCCAAAAGAAAAGGAGCTGACAATCTCAAGAGGAAGGAAGGGAGCCCAGCCCCCACCTCCTTGCCTTGGAACAGCTTAGATCAAGGAAAACCCGCTACCACCCCTGGATGAAGGAGGGGGAGGCGGGATGGGGAAGGAGGAGGAAGGGGGGGACGCCTAATAAATACTAAACACGGACTGTTTTGCCAATCCCGGAAAACCAGACCAAGGAGAGCACCCAGCATTGTCTGGGAGCTTTAGAATTCCCTAAGCACGTTAGCTTCTATTACCCGATTTAATTAGCAACTAGGGAGGAAGTCACTAGCTGAGCTAGAAGCCGGGGGAGCAACCCCACGTTAGGCTTCAAGGAATGCAGATTCCATCTTTCCCCAGGCACCTGTTGGCCCAGCCACCTCCACGAACTCCTCCAATCCTCACCACAAGGCACCCCTATCAGCCCCAACATACAGGTGGAGAAACTGAGGCTCAGGGAGCTTAAACAGCTCTACCATAATGTCAGCTGGGTTCTCTCTCCCTTGTCTGAACCCCAGGAACTTCTGGATGGTCAGCATATACACTTGTAAGAGTTTCCATTATCATCTGCTGCTGCTAAACATTTGGTCAATCGTTCAGTCACAGATTCCTGAGAGATCTCCCGGAGCGCCTACCGCGCACCAAGCCCTCAGCCCTGCTGTCAAGTTCCTCCAGACCCACCTAGGTAAACAGAGAAGCCAGAGAATGAGTACTTGTGTATAAGCTGATGTGGTCATCGCCATACTGCAATTCTGTGTCTTATTCTCCCACTGGCAGCCCCCGAGTTGGGGACCCCACCGCCTGGCAGTTAAAGACCCTGGCACTAGAACCAGACTGCCTGGTTTCAAATCTCTTCTACCCAGTGGCTATATGACCTTGGGCAGGTCATTTAACCTCCCCATAAAATAAAAACCATAAGATATCAGATACGATAATACCTCATACTACCTACAGCCTTACATCATATATTATAATAACACGGATAAATCAGTCGACGCGTGTAAACCCTTAAGGACAATGTGTGGCTCAGCATAATTGCTCAATTAATCTTGGCTAACAATTTATACCCCCATAGCAACAGCTCTCAAAGCATGGACCAGGGACCCTCAAGGGGTGGTCCGTGAGGCCAAAGCTCTTTTCGTAATAATGTCAATAAGACATGGAGTTTTCTAGAAGTTACCCAACAGTGATATCACAATAGATTGACTGCAGAAGCAGATATGAGACTCTTCTGTTCAGCCTGACATTAAGGAAATGTGCAAAAACAAGGCCTTGCAAAACAAGGGCATTCTTCTCACTAAACGACTTTTGTTTTGGAAAATAGTTATTTTTCAAAAAAGTTGTTATTTATGTTATCCTGTAATGGGTTAAACTGTTGTTATTTTTAAGTGAATTAATATATATACTTTTAATATACTGACTTTATTTTCTAATATGGCAAGTACTTATAGCTAACAAATAACCATAGCTGCACTGACTTCCCAGGAAGGTCAGAAAATCTTGTTTCTCCTCCTCCCTCCCTCCGAGGCTCTCTTACCTGAGCCCCATGTGAATTTGGGTTCCCAGGTTCCCCTAGGCTTGGTCCTGTGTTCATACTCCGGCTACCTCATCCTTCTCTCCCCAGGACCCACCCACTCCTACCTGTGGCTCCTAATTAACCTAAGAGGCATGCAGGCCTGGGCATGAGCCCCGGTTTTAGAAGGTTTTAGAATCCGGTTGAGCCCCGATTTTAGAAGGTTTTAGAATCGGGTTGACCTGGTTTAGAACCATGACTCTACGACTTACTGTCTTTGAACAGATGGCTTAGCTTCTCTGAGCCTCGGTTTCCTTATTCATAAAATGGGAACAACAACAGTACCTACCTCTTCGGATTATTGTCGGGAGTAGTGACAACTCACCCAAGATGCCCATCCCTCGACAAATAATAACTATCATCGTTACTGTGTTTCATCGTTATTACTGGCCACCGGGTCCCCCGGGCCCCTCGTCGGTGTGCTCGGCTGCCCTTTCCGCTGACCCCACGTCCTGCTTCTCCACAGTCCCACAGAAGAAGCAAAACCAAGGACTGCGTGGGATTGCAGCCTCTGGCTTCGCAACACGCACACCCCGACCACGCGTCCCCACTCCCTCAATCCCATGCAGGGTGTCACACTACTCCAGAGCTAAAAGTGAAACATGACAACTAACTGCCAAGCACCCAAGCTCACGACTGAAAAAGCCCCTCTGCTGCCAGGGCTGAAGCCAAAGCAGTCTTGGTTTGGGGAGAGGGGACCATGATGGGGAATGGAGGAGCCCTAGCCTGGAAGGCAGGGGACCAGGGCCCAGCCGGCTCTGCCGCTAATTGTGGGCGTGTTCCGTCCCTTCTGGGCCTCAGGTGGCTCAGCTATAAAAGGAGACAACATTCTGGCTCCGACGTTACAGAATTCTAGGACAGCCAGGTGAAACTGGGGAGCCCTGTCTTCCCCAGATTCCCTCCAAGGACGCATATGACCCGGGGGGACACATGCCCTGCCCTCTGTCACTGCTCCACCCCCACCCCCACCCCCACCAGGTCCTATCCTGGTGTCTCCCTGCCACTCACCCTACAGTTGCTCAGCTCCTCGGCGGACAGGATGATGGTGCCACATTTCTTCCCTGGGACACCACTGGGAGAGGAGAAGATGAAAGAATGGAGAGCCAGACAAAGACAGACACAAAACCTGCACACTCCCTGAATCAGCCCTCCTCATCCTCCCCCCTCCCATTCCAGCAGATCTGCCCAGAGCCCCTGAGAAGACAGAGTCTCCTGAAATACTTGTGGCAGTGTGGCCTAGGGCACTGCTTCCTGGGCCAGGCCCCCCAGGCCTGGAGCTGCCCCGCCCCCTGCTCCCCAAGAGCCCGCCAGGAAAGGTAGTGTCTGCAATGAAAGTCCTAGAAGCGGAAAAGCATCCAGACTCACCCGGAGGCTTCCAGACCAGTGGTTCTCAAACTTTCCATCCAAAGACCACTTCTGTGGGCAAAAGACCTCGTGGGCCAGCCACCCCACCCTGCACCCAGCTGACCCCCAGAGTCCTGGAACATTTCAGCTCTGAGTCACTCTGATTTATCATGGGTGGGAGAGCAAGCCGCAGGAGGGAGTTAAGCAGAAGGGCTGGTATCCTCCTGGTGGCCGCTTGTCCAGGCTCTCTCCCACGGCTACCTCCCCTTAAACTCCTTGGCTGGGGTCTCTCCAGGGAAGAGAGATCCTGGCCATCCATGCAGCTCCTCGGTGAGGTGGACAACCAGGACATGAAGTCGGCCCACCCAAGAACCCCTCCAGGAGGTCAAGTTCCCAAGGTGGGGCTTCTCCCAGGGGATCTGGACCACCTCTTCCCTGGGTCAGGAGGGCCCCCTCCCCCAAGCACCAGCCCATCCCACTCCAGTGTTTGGGATGAACCCGGAGTTGGGGGTTCCCAGTGCGGCCAGGGGCCACTGGGAAGGAGAAAAAAATGTCACGTTGTCCAGCAGCTGCTTAACTTTGGACTCATGATTGTACCTCTCTGAGCCTCGGTTTCCTCGCCCATAGAATGAGTGTGTTTGTAGGCTCCACTAGTCAGGATGTGCACACACAGTGCATGGCACAAAAACGGCCCCCAAGGAGCATCATTTCCCTCCCTGCCTTTCTTTTGCAATTTCACCAAGCTGCTAAAATCCAGCCCTACACCTTGGGCCAGCCTCGAGGCTCCCAGCACGCTGTCTACAGAACACACTTTGAGAACCACTGATGGAGCTCTCCCCAATGCCAGCTTTTGGAGGGAGAGGCTCTCACGCAGAGGAGGCAAGGGAGCCGGCCCCAGAGGCTGAGACAGCCCAGATCTCTCCACATCAGGAGAGCAGAGCAGGGGCTACATCTGGAGGTTCCCCTGCCAGTTGGTGCCCCTAGACTTGGGCAGCTGAGCAAAGTGCCCCAGCCCTGGTCTGCCCCCCCCCCCCGGGGTGTAAAGATATGATTTGTTTGACCAAGAGACAGAATCCTCACACCAGCCTCCTCCGCCCGTTTCTCCATCTGTTCCTCCCTCTGCCTCTGGGCCCTTCTTTGATTTCCCATCTTCCCTTCCCTCCCCTCCAGACCGAACCAGCTCCCACCTGCTCAGGGCCTTCCTTTTTCTCTCCCTTTGCCTTTCTGGCCCTCACTCTCTGCTTCTCTCCCTGACTCCAGCTCCCTATCCGACTGCTGCTTCCATACTCTCAGTGTAAATCAGCATCCACACCCCGCCTGGGCTGTGAGCACCCAGGGCCCCCAGAGGCCCCTTTCCCATATCCAGCAGCCCCGGTAGCCGGTCCGGCTGCTGGGACCCCAGCGCCTGGGAGCTCTCAGCAAGGCCGGGGGGAGCTTTGCTTACTCAGCCCAAATGCTCATCAGTGTGACGCACCTCCAGGCTGGTCACCGGGCGGCAGATATTCCCTATCCTGCCCCACCCCACACCCTCAGGTGAAGGCCCTCTCTCCAACCAGGAGAGGGGGAGAGGGAATGAGTCGGGGAGGGGGGGGGCGCTGTCTTTGTTGCATATAGTTGCATGAAGCTGGCCAAAAGCAGACGGTCAGTGTGGAGGCCAGGGGAGTGAGGCTGGCCCAGCACAGCCGGTGAGCAAATACAAAAAGTGAGGATTTAGCAGAATCTACCCCACGAGGAGGCTGACGTCCAGCAGTGCAAGCAGTGGAGGGGAAGTGGGTAAGGAGATAAACAGAAGGGAGGGAAAGAGGGAGGGGAGAAAGGCGAGGGGTAGGAGGGAGAGAGGAAGGGCCAGTGTCCGGCCCCTGCTGACCACTGGAAGCAGCCCCTACCTCTGCTCCCCGCCCTGCTCCCCAAAGTCCCATGGGCCACTGGGGTTGGGGAGGCTGGAGCTCCAGCCCGGTGCGGGAGGGGCCGGCTGCAGAGTGGCCCTCTCTCTCCCGCCCCTGCCCTCAACCGCCCAGGGCTGAAGGCGCAGTGGTGGGAGCAGAGACCAGGCCTAGACTCTGAGGCCCCCTCTGCAGAGCCGGTTGGATGTCTGAGGACTCCAGGGCCAGAGATGTCTGCTGACCTACCCATTGGACACCGCTGGCATGGGTTTGCCTGTCCTGGAATTCAGGCTGAAGGCTCCTATCCTGTAGAGAGAGAGGCAGAGAGAGGGTGCCATGAGTCAAGCACCCCCATCCTGAGAGGCCATAGCACTTGGCATCGGAATTCTTGGAGACAGGTATCTATTCTGGATCAAACATCAAAACAGGACCAAGAGCTGCAGGCCCGAGGAAGGAGAGGTCTTCCAAACCTTGTTGTGAAGTGCTGGGTGACTCTACCTCAGGGGTTCTCAAAGTGTGCGCCGTCAGCATCCCTGGGAATGTGTTAGAAATGTAAGTTCGCAGGCCCCACACCAGACAAAGGGGCAGGTGGTTTGAGCCCGGGAATCTGTGCTCTAACAAGCCCTCCAATGACGCCGAAGGCTGCTGCGCTTTGAGAACCATGCTCCACCTTGCAAGCCTCAGTGGCTGGACTGTGAAATGGGGAAACTGCTGAGAGAATCCCATGAGATCTGAGAAGCCGATGGCGCTCTGGCCCAGAAGAGACGCCCCGTGAAAGGGAACTCCTGCGCGTGGGGCTAGCCGGGAGACTGAGACACGTGACATTTTCAGTGGGGGAAACAGGTCCCCCTCCTTCACCAACCCATCGTCTCCAAGATCCTGCTTACCGTCCCCAAGGCTCGCCTCCCCAGCCATCTCCTGTGGAGGTCTTCCTCAATCCCCCCCCCCCCAGCAGGTGTGCCTGTCCCCCAAACGTGGGCCGGGTGACAGCAGGGAGGAAAGAGACCCGAAGGACAAGCGGGCTTTTGACCCAGGCAGTTGGGAGCTGAGAGGGGCAGACACACACACTCACTCTGAGGTCCCCAGATTCCATAAATGTCAGAGCCCTACAAACCTGGGTTTGTTCCCTATTTTCAATAAATGATAGTTTATACCATTATTTTCTGTGAACCCAGAGAAGGAGACCTTTTCAGGGACAGAGAGGCCTCTCTGGGGGCTCGGAAGTTACCATACAGTTATTGCGGGTCAGAGACAAGGGCCTGGGAGAGAAACCCCCCTCCCCGACAATGACACATTCAGCACTTCTCCATCACGGCGAGGGGACAGCATCCAGTGCGAATTTGGCAGAAGCAAGCGTGGGGCTGAGGCCCAGCCTGGCCTGCTATCCCCTTCCTGCCCACCCTGCCACGTGGCCGGGACGCTTGTCCCAGTCGGCAGGCTCCTCTTGTCTGGGTTCTGCCCCTGGGGCTTCCTGAGAAACAGGGACAAGAGAGGGCACCCCTGTTACCCAGCCAGCCCTGGCTGGTGCCTACAGCCGCCCGCAGGCTCCACTGTAAGAAGCCTTGGGATTCCTCATCCCAGAGCCTGCCCAGAGGAATAGCTTTTCCCTAAAAGCACTTACAGCCCTATAATGCAGATCGTCGGGGGGGCAGGGCGAGATGAGGAGCGCCTCACCATACCCACCTCTGGCCTACAGCAAGGGGTAAATAATCTGAGGGATATGCTATGTGAGGAGAACCCTGAATTCAAATCCCAGCTCTCCCACTTCTTAGCCGTGTGGCCTTGGGCAAGTCACTTTCCCCTCTCTGGGCTTTGATTCCTTCCGCTATACATTGGCGAGGGTGGGCGGTAGGGGTGGGCTAGATAGTGCCTCCGGCCGTCCCAGGAACATGGAGCTCTAATAACTAAACCAGGGTCCCTCTAAGTTAACTGGGTTAGCGGCCCTGCAAGGGCAGGGCCCATGGGGTCTCCTTATTCCTAATCACCCCGCACGCGTGGCGGATTGCTGGCTCCCCTATCCTGAACTAAGGGTGCGCGGGAGGTTGGCCCATCCCTGGGAAAGCAACCCAGACAGGCCCCACTCCCACCTACACTTACGTGAGGGGCTTCTCCAGGCGGCTCCCAGGGGACCCCACGATCTCTCCGAGGGTGCAGAAGGCCTGGCCCAGGAAATCCTGCACGCCCAGGGTACAGAAAACACCAGTGTCACCCACTCTGCCCACAGCCACCCCACCTCCCCCATCACCCCAATGGCTAGAAGTGGGCGGGCTCGGAAATGACCAGAAGCAGCATCAGACACATGGTCTGCGTCGCAGTGAAGCCTGAGGATGACCCAGACTCTGGCATTTGAAGAGAGCTTCAGAATCTCTGGGCAGTCATGGTAGAACTCACGTGTTTGGATAAATCAGGGCTCTTCGAATCAACGTCGTATCTGCAGGGAACACACAGAGATGGGAAAAACAGCTGGGGCATCCTGCCCAGAACTGCTGGGGTCCTTGAGCTGAGTCGGAACCCCTACACCCCTAAATACAGGCTCTGACACAGTAGGATATTTCTGGGAGTAACGGCTGGGAGGCCCACATGGGAGCCTTGTGGGGTGCCGGACATATTCTGTCTCTTGATCCGGGTGATGGTTACATGAGGGTAAACAGATATAAAAATGCATCATGGGATGGACTCTGAAGATTTGTGTACTTCACCATGTATATGTTATAGCTCATTAAAGACTGAAAAAATAAAATAAACTTGCTCAGCAACCCTGGCTGGTTATCAGGTGGCTAAGCCACCTTGCCCTTCACTGCCTGTTCTCCCATCTTCCCACTAAGGCGAGGTGCCCCTGGAGCTCAATACCTTGCCTTTGACCTTCCCTGATGATTTCACCTTGCCCAGGCCTGCCCAGACTGACCTTGGGCCTTGTCACTCAAGAACGTCACTCCACCTGCACCTGGGCCCCTCCCTTTACCTGGAGCCTGCTCACCTGGAGCCGCCCCTGCAGCCCTTCGTCCAGCTTCACCCCCTCCACCCCGCCCCAACTGGCCATCCAGGCCCAAATGCCTCTTGCTGAGGGGCAGTCATTTTTACTCTACCCCTGCTCTAGCACTTTCTCTCTCCAAAATGTCCCAAAATGGTGACTTCTCTACAATGGGCTGCAAGTCTTCCATCGGTCCCTCCAAAGTTATGTCCTTCCACTGCATTTTTTCCTCTGCTCCTGCAAGCCCCCAACCCCCTTTTGGCCCACTCTGTCCACAATTCTCTGGGATACAGTCCTTTCCAAACACCCACACCTTGGAAAAACAACAAAACAAGGTTCCCCCACCTGCTCACCAGACTGAAATCCCATCATCACCTTTAACCTCAGTGGAGGGGCCCTCTGCACCTTTGTGAGACACACGCACATGCCCTGGGCCCCATCAGTCAGGTTACCTCTGCAAGAAGGGAACCTCGAGGGCACCCTCTCCCAGAATAAGCTCGGACAGAGAGAGAGGTCCATGGGGACCTCCCCGTCACCTGCGGAGAAAAAGACTCCCGGGAAGCCCCCAAGGTCTAGCCCCCAGAATCAGGTGGCTTGCTCAGTGCCCTCCCACACTTAATGGAGACAAATGGTGGGGAGCCTCTATTCTCTCTCCCCACCTTTTTTCCATCTCTTGATGAGGGTGGGGCTGGACTTCAGCTAATTGTCGTTTTTATCCCAGGCCAAACCTGAGCTCCCTCTAATGTCTCGGCACCCCTCCCCTGCCTTGGTACGGGAAACTACTACCAGCCCAGGTCCTACAGTCCCTCCTCCCATCTAGGGTTCCTCGGCCCCATCCTCAGCACCAGCTGCCACTTACAGGTCAAAACGGAGGTTCTGCTTCTCCTCAAAGAAGTAATCCACAATGAATTTGCGCACAAAGTCGGGATTGAGCGTGTTGTCAATGACTTCGGTGCGTCCGAACTGCAAGAGAAAGTGGGGTGTGGACCTCAGGGCCAGGCTGGTGGGGCAGGGGAGAGCACTGGGCTCAGAGCCCCTCAGTACAGGCCCCAGCAGTAATGGAAGCCATGCTTCTGGTCCCTGTCCCCTACCCCCTGGCTGAGAGTTCCTCCATCTAACAATGGAAACCATCCCCGCTAGGGCTCCAACTCCATCCTCAGCTTTATTCTCACTACCTCTATCTAGACTCCACCCAAGTTGTAAGGTTTTGATACCTGAATACTTGAGCAGAGTATTCCCCTTTCTGCTTGTGGAATTCCTCCATTTCTTCAAAATCCTTTGTTAATGCTGCCTCCTCCAAGAAGCCTTCCCAATTCTTCCACCCAGAGAGTTTTACTTCCCTCTGAACCACCACTGAACTTGTGCTCCCCCCTGACCACCGTCCCTCTCTGACCGATGCCACAGTTTGGTGTATACTTATCTGATGCCACAATTATAAATGAAAGGGCAGAAGAAGGGATTGTGGGATCTTTAAGATCCCCACCTCCTGCCCATGTGTAATCCCCTCCCCTTGAAGGTGGGCTAGACTTCATGACTCACTACAAATGAACAGAATAGAGCACAAGCCACTCCCCAAGTTGTGTTATAAACTACCATGACTTCTGTCTCTGGGACCCTCTCTCGCTCTCTTTTGCTTGCTCACTTCAAGGAAGCCAGCTGTGCTATGGAGAGGCCCGTGTGGCAAGGAACTAAGGGCAGCCTTGGGCCAGGAGGCGGGCAGCCAGTGAGGAGCCAGGCTGTCAGCCAACCCACCTGTAAGAATCTGAATTTTGTCAACAACTACTGAGAGAACTTACAAGTGGACCCTGCCCCACCAGAAGCTCGAGATGACTGAGGCCCTGGCCAGCACCTTGACCGTAGCCTTATGGGAGACCCCGAGGTCGAGGACCCCACAAAACTGCACCCAGATTCATGACCCTGTTGTTTAAGTTGCTCAACTCTGGGCTAATTTGTTACACAGCAACAGATAACTAATACATGAACTTAACTTTCTTGGTATCCCCTGCAGCAGATACTCTAGAATTTTACACACATTAGGCACTCAATAGTTGAATCCCATTAAACTCCCCAAATGACTTAAGGCAAGTCACTCCCAGGTCTAAGCATCAGAATCACTGGGAGGGTTTGTTAAAATACCGATCGTAGGTCTCACTCCCAGACGTTCTGATTCAATAGATTCAGGGTGAGGCCTGAGAATCGGCATCTCTCAAAAATGTGCCGCTGGTGCGGGGACCTCCCTTCGGACAACCACCGGGCTCGACTGTAGTCCACAGGGCTCTGAGCATCTCAGGGTCTCCCTGTGCTGTGGAGGAGGGCAGTGGGGACATGGGTCCTGGCCGTCACTCTCTTACATCTCGTTTTTTTTTTCTCCCTTACATCTATTCAATACACTGGACATTTCTGGTAAGATTTTGTTTCAAAAAAGGGACGTGGGGCTAAAAGACCGAGTGTAAAAGCAATGCGCTCTATGCTTCATGAAGGGAAGACATGATACCAATTGTACAAAGTGAATAAGACAGACAGGTGCATGATAAATATTTTAAATAAATCGTGAATATTTCTGAATACATAAACATGTTTTTTCAACTTGGGCAGTAATTGCCAAAATAAAAAATTAATCCTGAGTACTAGTCCTCCTTAATGGGGCTCTGCAGCCCAGAAAAATGCCAGTGCACGGCCCCCTCTCCTATGGGGTGGGCAAGGCCTGCTTCTCTGGGATGTAGCCCAGCACTCACTTGTTCCTTGAATTACGTTAGAAAGCTGCAAAGAGAACCTCCCACCCAAGGCAGTGTGGGGTCATCTGAGAGCACGAGATTTGGCACCATCTTGCCCTCACTCCCTATCAGTTCCTCCAGCCGAGTCTCTCTCCTAACCCCCTATCCCCACTTCTTCCGCTGTGGCCTGGGTCAGGGCTCCCCATTTTCTGACCTCAACACCTGCAGTGACCTCCTAGTGGGTCCCCTAAGTGGGAACACTGCTAATGCTTGAAGACCCGGCTCCCCAGAAGTCCTGCTCTCCGGCTCCCAACCCCTCCCCTGTGCTCCCACAATCCACCCAGCACCCCTACGGCTGCACTTACCCTGTCCCCTGACAATGATCCGAGGCTCTTCCTACCCCACCAGACAGAGCTTCTTGAACAGCAGAGGATCCGAGCTCTCCTCATTTTTGCAGCCCAGGACCTGCCACTGTTTAACAGATTCGCAGGTTCGTGGTCGCAGATGATTATAAGCATGAGGAACTGTGCAACACATTTTGCACCGTATTTACCCTATTTCATCCTTTTATGGTAGGCTTCCCCATTTTACAGATAGGAAAACAAAGGCACAGAACAGTTAGGGTTACATAACTAATCACTGCTGAGGACAAGTCACAACCTAGGCATTCTGGCCCATGCCCTCTAAGCCACGTGGTGCTCCATGTGAGGTCCCTAGCGAGGGCAAAGACTGGTCACTGCCCTCGGTGACTGGTAGGCAGTGGGGACTCAGAAGCTGTTGAATGAAGTAAGGTTGAATGAGGAAAGGGATGAGTGGGTTTGAGTCGCAAGCTTATCACAAGCTAATTGTGGGACTTGATTGGAGAAAGCTTCGATTTCCTCATCAGAAGATGGGAGAATACGACATGTCCTGCTTACTTCTTAGAGGTATCATCCAACTCAATTACTGATTGAACAAACAGTTTTTCAGCACTTACTGTAAGCCAGGCAACGTGCTGGGTGCTGAGCTACAAATACAAATAGAACATGAACCCTTTACCTAAGGACTTCTCTGTCATAGGTGGGACAACTCATAATCGACTGATACAATACAGTGTGACAACAGCACTATATACAAACCTCTAGGACAGGGTCTCCCCTGGGTGCACACCAGAAGCCCCCGGGGAAATGTGAAAGAGATAGAAATTGACACAAAAGCAGATTACTGGGGGTCCCGTTTCACATGCTATTCCAGGCATCTGACTTCGTAGAGATCTGCACCTTTCATTATGGTTGAGCTATTTTACAACTTCGGAAATTGTAGAAAGCACAGGGTAATGCAAATGATTCTTATCCGTAGATATGTAAATATATTTGGCTCAGTGGAATGCAATTATTTGATTATTATCTTGTTGATAACTGACCGATTTTGCATCTATTTATAAATTAATTTCAGCATTCCCGATTGCCTATGTACAGCTGACCCTTGAACAATGCAGGGGTTAGGGGAGCGGACCTTCACACGTCGTCGAAAATCCAGGTATAACTTTTGACTCCCCCCAAACTTAACTAATAGCCAGCCTACTGTTGACCGGAAGACTTAGCGACAACAAAAAGTTGATTAAAAGATATTTTGTATGTTATATGTATGGCATACTGTATTCTTACAATAAAGTAAACCAGAAGAAAGAATATGTTATTAAGAAAGTCATAAAGAAGAGAAAATATATTGACCAGACTGTACTGTATTTATTGACAAAAATCTGTGTGTAAGTGGACCTGTGCTGTTCAAACCTGTGTTGTTCAAGGGTCAACAGAATGTGTGTTGAGTCCTCTGAACCAGCTGTAACATCTTACTGGTTCCTTCATTTAATTAACAAGTTAAATAAATCCTTACCATGTGTTCATTTTATATTTGCATGGGGATTCATGATTTTACCTTTTAAAAAAATGTATCCTTTACAGGAGCTTTTTAAAAATACCCATGCTCAAATCCCCATCACAGACCAATGAAACCCAGTCTCAATGGGTGTGGCCTGAACAACTGTTTTCTCAGTTTCCTAGGTGATCCTAATGCGCAGTTGGAGTTGAGAACCACTGATGGAGGAAGAAAGAAAACTAACATTTACTGAGCCCCTTCTGAATGCTCACTAGATCAAGTGGATCATTATCTCATTCGATTCTCACAAAATCCCCGTGAGTTACTACCCGTTTTCCAAGTGAAGAAACTGAGAATCAGAAAGGTTAAGGAACACAGCTATAGGCAGAGCTGGGACCTAATTACAGATAGGAAAACAAAGGCACAGAACAGCTAAGTCATCTGTCTAGGGTTACACAACTAATCATTGGCCACACAGCTAGGCAGAGCTGGGACCTAAATGCAGGTATGTGTAATCCAAGGCCTCTTATATTTTTACTTCATCTAACGTCCTCAAGCACTATGAAAATCAAATAAAGATGAGGTTGACTTCACAAGTATTTATAAAAGCCCCACCGTGTACAAGGCAATGGGGTAGATATTGAGTTGAATAAGACTGGGTTCCTGCTACATCCCCTAATTCAGTAACAATCTTACAACGTATAATCCATCCTTGTTCCAAGAGAATTCCTGCATTTTCCCCTTCTGCTCTAATTCTTTTTTTTAAAGATTTTATTCATTCATTTTGACAGAGAGAGAGAGAGAGAGAGAGAGAGAGAGAGCCACCGAGAGAGGGAACATAAACAGAGGGAGTGAGAGAGGGAGAAGCAGGCTTCCCGCCAAAGCAGGGAACCCGACCCGGGGGTGGGGCTCGATCCCAGGACCCTGGGATCACGACCTGAGCCAAAGGCAGACACTTAATGACTGAGCCACCTAGGCGCCCCTGCTCTAATTCGTAACACCTCTAGTCTTCAGACAAAAGGAAAATTTCTCCTAATGGCTTTCTTGCAGAATATTCTGGGTAAACACCCAGGTATGAGAGAATCCTCTTTTAAGAAAGGGCTCTACCTCCTCTTCAATGTACCGCTCCCCTAAACATGTTAAAAAAAATCCCTCTGGCTGAATTTTAGATACACCCCAGTCCAGAAGGAGAAAGCATTTGGGCCGCCTCTCTCACCCGACTCTCAGCAGAGACTCCAAGGAAAACACCCATTAGGGAAGATGACAGCGCTGCTTTTAAAATGGCACTTGAAGCTTCAATAGAGAGGAATTCCCTAGAGATTGATCTCTGCCAGAGAAGAAAATGGAGTTCCCCCGGAAACAGGACTTGGAGCGGGACTCCAAGGGCCCCCA